TGTAGTCGACTTATGATCCTTTATTGCGGTCATAATATGAACTCTTAGAACTAGTGTTTTGTTTAACTAAAGTTGGTTTACATAGAGATATGCAATTTAATTAGTTAAATATGATCAATGAGAACTCGAGAGGGGTAAACTGAATACAATTGAAGAATTCAATCGAACACTACATTAGGTTATAAATTTTGAATTAAGAATAAATGTGATCAATATATTAAATTGTTATGCCTCAATATTCATCATATATTTGAATTTTCAATCATCCATTATTTGCAATATTTTTATATTTTCAATTAGTTAAAAGTAATTAGAAAAAAAAATAATCATAAACATCATAATTCTTTACTTGCTTTTATCAAATAGAAGTTAGAAAAATTAGATTAAATCCTAAAGTATAGTCTTCGTGGGAACGACATCTGAACTCCAAGGTCCACTATACTGCTTGTTATGATATTGTGCACTTGCGATATAAAAAACGCAACAAGTTTTTGGCGTCCCTGTCGGTGACTATATACTTTTAGTCTTAATTTATTTTAGTTTTAACTGTTATTTGATTTAATTTAATTTTAATTCCTTTTATATATAAAAAAAGGAGTTCGTTGTATGCTTTGCACCCAATGCGACGATTTGGAACCGTTTGACTCGGAAATAGAATGTACTTTCAGACGAAGAAACAAGGAACACAAACAAAAATAGCAACGTCAAATGACTGACGGTCAAAATATTCATATTCATATTCATCCAATTGGACAAGTGGCCACAAGAGTAGTAGTGTCTCCGAGTCAGCAATAGGAGCGAGGGGAAATAAACAAAAAAAACTTGCCAGTCTGAATGTTCTTGACGCTAATAGCAGCGTATGCACGTTCCAATATTGTCTATCCAGATTTCGGGGTAAATAATTTTCAGATAAGGGCATAGTTGATCAATTTAATGAGCAACACTCTCCCATTCTACGAGCTATCTCATGAAAATCCGAACACACATATCTACAGATTTCTCAGAAATTGTCAGAACTTCCATACTCCGAGAGTTAATGAAGACGCTATTGAGTTGCGATTATTTCCATATACAC